CCTCCCCCTTTCTCCCTATTTATTTCAGAATCCCCTTCCCTTCCCCCATTTCTGAAGAAGGGTCTAGACCCGAAACGTCAGCTTTCCTGCTCCTCTGATGCTGCTTGGCCTGCTGTGTTCCTCCAGCTCTACACCTTGTTATGTCAGATTCTCCAGCATCGGCAGTTCCTACTATCTCTGTAACAATTCTCGTGTGATGTCCGTGTTTTGATTTGTTTTACCCGATCAGCGAAGTCCTGAAGCTGCAGCTGTTAACACAGGACTCCTTTCTCTCTGCTCATTAGCAGCTGAAGTCTTACAAATGATAAACCCTGAAAAATGACCTTACAAACTATGAACAAAAGAAACCCAAAAAGCACCTCTTCCCATGTGCACTGAATTCCCATAGGGCACTACATTTCCAGTATCTCTCACTCACTTGGTCAGCACCTATCCCTGGATGTGCCTTCTCCCAGACTGCTCATGAGAAGTGGGATTTCTGTAATGCTGCAGGTTTCTTGTTCCTCATGCTCATTATTGATCATCTCCACTTCCAGTCAATTCCCCCACTGCAGCAATGCACTGGAAATCAAGCTCCTTTATTCCCACACTAATTGCAAAATTTAAAGATTTAAAAAATGCACTGAATTCCCCAATTTCCCCGTCTTTTTAGATTGATAGGAAAAATAGACCAGGTTTCTGTCCTTAACATTATCTACTATTTATTACAAATAATTGACTCCAGCCACAGATAAATAGTTATAAATGTATACATGTAACTAATTAAAAATTCAAGAAGCACCTGGACAAATACATGAATAAGAAGAGAATAGGGGGAATACGAATCCTCTAAGTGAAGACAGCTTTAATATGGAAGGGCAAAATAGGATGGTGCAGGTTTGGAAGGCTAAAGGGCCTATTCCTGTCCGGTATTGTTCTTTTCTTTTGTAAAACTTTAATCCCCTTATGAATTCCCCATTCCACGCACGTTCACAGATGTGTTACAGATGTAGGGAAAGCCTGGGAAATCAGTTCAGTGAATCCTGTTCCAAAAGGTTGCTGAAATTCTTGTTTTGGTCAAAACATTGCTTCTTGGTCTTCATTCTCCATAGGGTTCACCAGTTTACATGAGGCACAGGCTGGCTGATTCACTTATAAAAGATCTCCAACTTAAACAAAAGTCACAACTTACAGCAACTGCTGAAGGAAAAATCAACTGATTTTCTTCAGGATTGAAAAGACTTGTTATCAGAGAGACTAGAGATAGCTCCTGAACTGGTTCAGATCTGACAGCTTCTCCCTATCCTGGTCACAGTCCCACGCTGTTCAGTTACCTGAGAACCAGTCACATAGTTGTTGGCAGGCAGAAGCCTTTGTCATTGATAACAGGTCACTAGTCTACAGTCCAATGAGCTACCTGGATCCACCATAGCTGTATCTGTACTCAAACCCTCAGCTCCAGCTTTGACTACTGCTGGTTTAGCAACTATGTAAGTGTTGCTTACAACGAGGGTTAGTTACTTCTTTCAAAGCATGCAGTAAACTTTCCAGCAATCTGTTTTTAAAGCAGTTCTTTTCTCATTTCATTCCACAATTAAAAATACGGAAAAATAAAAAGACACAGTCTTTACTTCTCGCCACTTGCAAAAATGTGGTTGACTCTGAACTGCCCTCTAGGCAATAAATTCCTGATCCCCACTACCCTTTTTAATCGTCTACAGACCAATGTGGTTGACCCTTCACTGCCCTCCAGCATTGGTCTCAAATTCCTTGCTGATCCCCTCTACCAGTTGTTATTCCAATTAGGATCATGTCATATTCCAATCCCCACACCCTGGCCTGAGCAAGGCCCCTATCCCCTCACAGGGTATTTACTGAACAAGGCTCTTATGACAGCGAGTGATGTTAGGTGTTCAAGCTGCCACTCTCTGAGGGCCCTGATCTTCTGCCCCATGTTGTGTGTAACGGCTCCAGTACACAAGCTTTCTTGTCCTCAGAGCAAAACACTGCACTAATACTTTACACAATTGCTGTTCTTGGGACTGAAGCATGTAGCATTAATTCATTCATAAAACCAACATTTTAAAATGTATTTTTATTTAATATATACAAATTAATCTCTAAGTAGCAGTCAATATGGGTACATACAGTATGTTAGGTGGGGGGTGGGGGCAGCACTGTTTGCAGGTTTGTGTAAATATACAAATTTCCCATTTAAGTTGGGAGATTCCACTGAAAGGAGTTTCAAGAGTAGAAATGGAATAAGATTATTTTCTTGGAATTCAGTAATGATTCCTGAATGAACACAAATGAACTCAGGTTCTCTATCACTCAGACAGAAAACCCACTGTACTCCACAAGACACAGAACTGAATTGTTCCACAATATTCAGGAACACAGAGTCGATTGTTCTGTGCTTTTCCTTATCGTTGCTGAGAGATGTCTGAACTGAGGAATAGAGGACACTCTGTTCTATGATCTGGGAATGACAAAGAGAAACTCAATTCGTCTTGGCCAAGAACTCTCAGAACTGATGTCAGGCAAAGCTGCTGATGCTTCATGTTCACTTTATTAAAACTTTGCTAACAAAAGATTCTCTTTTATATAGCACCTGTCACAAGCTCATTACAACCAATGAATATTTTGTGCAGTGTCATCATTGTTGGAAAAGACTGCAATCAATGTCAACACAGCAAGATCCCATAAACTAAACATGACTGAGTCAAGAACATGCTTAAACGTCACAGCACATGGGAAGAACATCTCCTCATCTTTCAATAGACACACCCCATGATGGCGCATCCCCAGCGCTGACCCCCTCCAACAGTGCGGGTCTCCCGCAGCGCTGACCCTCCGACAGTGCGGGTCTCCCCCAGCGCTGCAGTGAGCTCAGGCTGGATTCTGGGTTCAGGTCACTGCACCATGTTTTAAAGCCTCATCATCTGTTCAAACCTCTGAGCCAGGAGGCCCAGGTCAACTCCCACCTGTTCCAGAGGGGTACAATGTCATCTCTGAACAGGTTCATTTGAAAGTTTGAGCCTTAGGGAAGGCTACACCCAGCTAACAGCTTAGTGCTGCACTCAATTCAATAATAGGAAGCTTGTGCTAAAATACATTTCACTTTTAAGACCCTGAATTCCAAAACTGCAATCTTACAGAGTGTCATTTCCATCTCAGTGTGAAGAAGAAAATAACAAACAGAATTGATAGCATGGCACTAATAAAGACCTAAGCATTGCTGTCACACAAGACAAGCTGAAAGCCTCACAGCTCAGGCAGCAGACAAATAGAGAACCTGCTGAGAGAGCTGGTTAAATATCTCTGAAGACATATGAAGACAACGTCGCTTTGTGATCGTTGATCAAACGTATCAGACCCTGAACAGTGATGTGAATTATGCTGTGTATATCAGGTCCCGTGCTGTCCAATCACAGGAAGGATTTCAGTTTCAATCTTGCAGGTACTCGAAGTCAGCAGCTGGATATTGAGCTGGGACAGTTTTCAGTGCATCCTCCGAAGTCCGATTCACATTCACATTCTGAATAAAAAACAATAAATGGACAAAACAGGATTAGGGCACATCAGCTGATGTGGGAGGATGTAATGTAAATCACATATAAAGCCCAGGGCCCCAAAATGCACTGTTGGATGGTCAGTACTGAGGCAGTGCTGCACTGTCGGAGGGTCAGTACTGAGGGAGTGCCGCACTGTCGGAGGGTCAGTGCTGAGGGAGTGCCGCACTGTCGGAGGGTCAGTGCTGAGCGGGTGCCGCACTGTCGGAGGCTTCAGTGCTGAGGGAGTGCCGCACTGTCGGAGGGTCAGTGCCGAGGGAGTGCCGCACTGTCGGAGGGTCAGTGAAGGAGTGCGCCATTATTGGAGGGCCAGTGCTAAGCTACAGTGCTCAACTGGCAATCAACGTTAGATAACTAATTGAGCTCATAGTGTGGGACACCTACATTGATATTCAGGGATAAAGCCTCTGCAAATAAATGAATGTGTTTTAAGCCTTGTGTCCTTTTCGAAATAGCTGTGAGCTTGAGGAGCCTATAGCTCCCTGTTGCTGTCTCTGTGGAAAATTTTCAGCCAATAACACCCTTTTATCCCGTAGTATAATTTGTTGCAATTGTCTGAAATTTTGTATTCTTGCATTGGTCCTGATGAGTACAAGACAAAAAGCTGCAACATTTCTCTCTCATCCATAATATTCAATATCTGTTCAACTGAGCAACTATTTACTAATTGTGATTCTTGCTTTGGATTTGAATGTATGACTCTCAAATTTAATAGGAAAATGATTATGATTACCTTTTCCAAGGGGATCTTTTATGATGAGTTTGTTAAACACTGTGCCTTATACAAGTAATTGTACAATGGTTATAGAATAGAAGCAGGCTATTGGGTCTGTTGTATCTGTGTTGGCCATCAGTAACAGCAATTCACCTGGAGCCTCTATCCTATCTTGATCCTATGGACCAACATTTTCTTTTCTCTTCAATGGTTCAGTTCCCTTTTGCAAACCTGTTAAACTTCCTTCTACCACAATCTCAGACTATGCATTTCAGAACCTAACCACTCACTGCATGAAAAATTTTGCACTTGTAAAGACCATACCATTTGATTTCCTGTATGCCTCAGCATGAAATTAAAATGGGAAAAGGAACATTTTAGAAATCAAAGATTGTGGAACAAATACCGCATTTTTGATACCAAATAATTCAACTCATTGTGTACAGTGTTTACACTGCTGCTTTGTTTAAGCAGTGAGGGATGATGCCTGCAGATGGTAGAGCCCTGGGCTGTGTGCACTGAGATTTGGTTGTTGGAAGTAGCTGATTGGTATCTTCAACTGGTCACAACCGCACAAAGCAAATTACATGAACCTGATGACAACTATCTGGTTGACAGGCAACTGACAAGCTTATGGGTGTGAACAATTGTGTGTACCAATGCCAGAATTATTAATGTATCTCAAAGAAATTATTCCTGATACTGACCCCCGGAGAACACTACAGTGACCCTACTCTCATCCTCAAAATCTGAGGCAGGAAAGCCTTCCCACCTAAGTAATTAAGATTTGACATAAGGACGTTCCCCTGGCATTGCTGGTACTCAATCACAAGCAGGTGGGGGCATCACTTCACGAGAATCCAGTCAGGGTTCCTTTCAGACCTCCAGGTTTTGGGGAGGGGCAGTGAAGAGTAGGAGTCCCTCCATCACAAGCATTGAGCATCTGATCAGGGTATCCAGTGTAAGGAAGGGGGGAGGTCTGCTGAGATACTTTGTTTGCCCTTTCTACAGAGCCAGGGACACCTTTCCTAGCCTCAGTCAGCGGTGGCCAGTATCGTCAATGATCTTCAGGCCCTGGTGCTGTTGACAGGCATCGAGAGCTGTCAGCTTCTTATTCACCTAATCTCTGGCTGAATGGGGTCTGGAGTCTCTGGGTTTATTGGTCATGGTGAGTTGGGCATTAGCCCGAGAACCAGTTAATATTGAGCTGACAGCTCTCAGAGGGCAGGATCCCAGGGAAGACCTGATGCTGGCCAGTTGTTACAACAGGCCCATCACTAAAAGGAGGTGGCACATGGTTCCGCCAATAGGCCAGATTTCTGTCACCAACATTAAACATTCTGTCCAGTGAGTTGGAACAGTTTTGTGCTGAGAATGGGATGAATTGTTAAATAGAACATAGAACATAGAACATTACAGCGCAGTACAGGCCCTTCGGCCCTCGATGTTGCGCCGACCTGTGAAACCAATCTGAAGCCCATCTAACCTAAACTATTCCATTATCATCCATATGTTTATCCAATGACCATTTAAATGCCCTTAAAGTTGGCGAGTCTACTATTTTTGCAGGCAGGGCATTCCACGCCCTTACTACTCTCTGAGTAAAGAACCTACCTCTGACATCTGTCCTATATCTATCACCCCTCAATTTAAAGCTATGTCCCCTCATGCTAGCCATCACCATCCGAGGAAAAAGGCTCCCACTGTCCACCCTATCTAATCCTCTGATCATCTTGTATGTCTCTATCAAGTCACCTCTTAACCTTCTTCTCTCTAACCAAAACAGCCTCAAGACCCTCAGCCTTTCCTCATAAGACCTTCCCTCCATACTAGGCAACATCCTAGTAAATCTCCTCTGCACCCTTTCCAATGCTTCCACATCCTTCCTATAATGCGGTGACCAGAACTGTCCGCAATACTCCAAGTGCGGCCGCACCAGAGTTTTGTACAGCTGCAACATGACCTCATGGCTCCGAAACTCAATCCCTCTACCAATAAAACCTAACACACCATATGCCTTCTTAACAACGCTATCAACCTGGGTGGCAACTTTCAGTGATCTATGCACATGGACACCGAGATCTTTCTGCTCATCCACACTACCAAGAATCTTACCATTAGCCCAGTACTCTGTATTCCTGTTACTCCTTCCAAAGTGAATCACCTCACACTTTTCCGCATTAAACTCCATTTGCCACCTCTCAGCCCAGCTCTGCAGCTTATCTATGTCCCTCTGTAACCTGCAACATCCTTCCGCACTATCCACAACTCCACCAACTTTGGTGTCATCCGCAAATTTACTAACCCATCCTTCTACGCCCTCATTCAGGTCATTTATAAAAATGACAAACAGCAGTGGCCCCAAAACAGATCCTTGAGGTACACCACTAGTAACTGAACTCCAGGATGAACATTTCCCATCAACCACCACCCTCTGTCTTCTTACAGCTAGCCAATTTCTGATCCAAACCGCTAAATCACCCTGAATCCCATGCCTCCGTATTTTCTGCAATAGCCTACCATGGGGAACCTTATCAAACGCTTTACTGAAATCCAAATACACCACATCAACCGTTTTACCCTCATCCACCTGTTTGGTCACCTTCTCAAAGAACTCAATAAGGTTTGTGAGGCACGACCTACCCTTCACAAAACCATGTTGACTATCCCTAATCGGATTATTCCTTTCTAGATGATTATAAATCCTATCTCTTATAATCCTTTCCAACACTTTACCCACAACCGAAGTAAGGCTCACTGGTCTATAATTACCAGGGTTGTCTCTACTCCCCTTCTTGAACAAGGGGACAACATTTGCTAGTCTCCAGTCTTCTGGCACTATTCCTGTAGACAATGACGACATAAAGATCAAAGCCAAAGGCTCTGCAATCTCCTCTCTAGCTTCCCAGAGAATCCTAGGATAAATCCCATCCGGCTCAGGGGACTTATCTATTTTCACACCTTCCAGAATTGCTAACACCTCCTCTTTATGAACCTCAATCCTGTCTAGTCTAATAGCCTGTATCTCAGTATTCTCCTCGACTACATAGTATTCACACAGGAAAAAGACAGACGAAAAATATTCATTTAGCACCTCTCCTATCTCTTCGGACTCCACGCACAACTTCCCACTACTGTCCTTGACCGGCCCCAATCTTACTCTCGTCATTCTTTTATTCCTGACATACCTATAGAAAGCTTTAGGGTTTTCCTTGATCCTACCTGCTAAAGACTTCTCATGTCCCCTCCTGGCTCTTCTTAGCTCTCTCTCTTTAGGTCCTTTCTGGCTAACTTGTAGCTCTCAAGCGCCCTCACTGAGCCTTCACGCCTCATCTCTACATAAGCCTCCTTCTTCCTCTTGACAAGAGATTCAACTTCTTTAGTAAACGACAGTTCCCTTGCTCGACCACTTCCTCCCTGCCTGACAGGTACATACTTCTCAAGGACACGCAGTAGCTGTTCCTTGAACAAGCTCCACATTTCAATTGTGCCCAGCCCCTGCAGTTTCCTTCTCCATCCTATGCATCCTAAATCTTGCCTCATCGCCTCATAATTGCCTTTCCCCCAGCTATAACTCTTGCCCTGCGTTATATACCGATCCCTTTCCATCGCTAAAGTAAACGTAACCGAATTGTGGTCACTATCACCAAAGTGCTCACCTACCTCCAAATCTAACACCTGGCCTGGTTCATTACCCAGTACCAAATCCAATGTGGCCTCGCCTCTTGTTGGCCTATCTACATACTGTGTCAGAAAACCCTCCTGCACACATTGGACAAAAACTGACCCATCTGAAGTACTTGAACTGTTTCCAGTCAATATTTGGAAAGTTAAAGTCCCCCATAACAACTACCCTGTTACTTTCGCTCCTATCCAGAATCATCTTTGCAATCTTTTCCTCGACATCTCTGGAACTTTTCGGAGGCCTATAGAAAACTCCCAACAGGATGACCTCTCCTTTCCTGGTTCTAACTTCAGCCCATACTACCTCAGTAGACGAGTTGTCATCAAATGTCCTTTCTGCCACCGTAATACTGTCCTTGACTAACAATGCCACACCTCCCCCTCTTTTACCACCTTCCCTGATCTTACTGAAACATCTAAACCCCGGAACCTGTAACAACCATTCCTGTCCCTGCTCTATCCATGTCTCCGAAATGGCCACAACATCGAAGTCCCAGGTACCAACCCATGCTGCAAGTTCACCCACCTTATTCCGGATGTTCCTGGCATTGAAGTAGACACACTTCA